GGGGGGGGGGGGGGGGGGGGGAGATGAAAAAAAAAATGAAGCAAAAATATAGAAAACGAAAAACAAATGTAGGAATGCTTCACCATGGACCCAATTGCACTTAATAAAGCTCACAATCTTCATATAACATGTTAAAATGTTAAAAGAAAATAAACAATTAATCCCAAAATCATACACCATGACAGTCAAGTGTTGTTCAACCTTTATTCAAATTAGTCTCATCCACAACTCAAACCAATTGTGGAGAAACCGAAGCCAATATTTACTGCCTTTTCCATTGTATTCCCTTGTTGACGGCAACATTCATTGGAGTACGTCTAAGAGAAGCAATTATAAAATACAAAAACCACATCTTCTATTCACGTAACACTATGTTTAACTACATATATATTGGTACAACACATTCTAAAAGCCAAAGAATATATAGTCAAGAATAAAAGAAAAAAGGCCCCAACATGATCTAACCTGTGGGACGGAAATTCTCTCAAGATTTGCAGCATAGGGCATGGGAACATCTGCCCCAGCAATCCTCTCAACAGGGGCATCAAGGTACTCAAAGCTATCTTCAAGAACAGATGCACTGAAGAAATGAAAATAGTCATATATACATTGGTGCGACAAAAGGGAAACCATTACATGAGGAGAAAGAGACGGGGAGCGGAAAGTTCAGTCGTGTAAAGAAAGTAACCAGATCTCTGCACCAATGCCATGCTGAGGGAAACCTTCTTCAACAGTAACAAGCCTATTGGTTTTCCTGACAGAAGCATTTATGGTCGACCTGTCAAGGGGGCGAATTGAGCGAAGATTTATCACCTGTAGAAACAAAGGAAGCCCAATAAACCAAGTTTCTAAAACACCATATTTCCATTCTTCATTTCGAGATGTCATAGATAATTGAACATCATTAAATTACCTCAGCACTAATTCCTTCCTTCGTAAGAATCTCAGCAGCCTATATAGATTCCACATGGAAAAGTTGAACATTTAAGATTGAAAATTTATACAAAATAATACATAACACCCTTTCATGAATTTTTTTCATAAAATATGAGAGGGAAGACCATTTTGAACCTGTAGAAAAGTTAAAATTTCCCAAAGGAAAGAACTAGTTCTGCTTTTGTACTACCATTTGTCTTCAAATTTGTTATATTAAACTTTCCACTCACTGGTGGAAAATAATTGGTGCTGCGAAAGTCATAGCACTTGTTTCAAGATAGATTATATTTGTTATGAATAAATAGATAGAAGCGAGTGGTGAAGAGTGGTAAGTACTTGTGGATTCTATGAAATTTGTGGGAAAAAAATAGATTTGAATGATTATGTTTATAAATTGAATAGGTGTCAAACAAGGGCCCATATGATTCAATTCTATTCAATTCATCGACAAATAGACTGACCCACCTGAAGAGCATAGCCAACCATTTTTGAGAAAGCAGTGATTGTAACATCGTTTCCCTCGCGTTCTATCTGTGCAAAAAATAATAATAATAATAATAAATAAATAAATAGAAATGAAGAGAGATAAGTTATTAGTATGTATGAAGCAAAGCAGAAGTACAATCGTCTTAGATAATATACCTTAGCTTTCCCAATTGGAAGACAAAAACTGGAATCAAGAGTTTCGGCAGAAACAGGGAATGATTCACCATATCTGTGGCACAAAGAGTTATTAACATAAAATGAGGGTGGTACCAAAAATTAAAAGCATCGAATGAAATCTTAATACTCACAGCAATTCATTTTCAAGGAAAACAACGGGATCTGGATCCCTTATAGCAGCTTTCATCAGGCCACGAGCATCCTCTGATGAATATGGAGCAAGAACCTTTAATCCTGGGCATGAAGCATACCATGCTGCATAGCACTGCAAGAGATATACATTAAGTGACATGGTAGGAAATATGGCATCATAGAACAGCAATTGTGAGTTTGCATGCCTAGCAAGCAGACAATGTCAAAAGATGGCTATAAGAATCAAAAGTAGTCCAGAAGGTAACCAACGCTTATTTTATTGTTCTAGTATTATATTCTTATCATTATTTAAAAGCTGAGCCATTTTCCCACCAAAAGAAGGCATCCTTGTGGTCATACAACTTTTTTCACCTTTAGAAACAAGAAAGAAAAAAACTTCCTTGGATGTTAACAACAGATTATAAAGAGACTTGTTCTGAAGCATAAAGCATGATACTGTGAAGAAAATAATGACGGACCAAATCAAACTCATACCTGGGAATGTTGAGCCCCAACACCAGCAGCAGCACCATTTGGACCTCTGAAAACAATAGGCACTGATATCTGACCGGCTGACATATAATTTGATTTTGCAGCAGAATTAATAATGTGGTCAATGGCCTGCAACAACCAACAAGTTATTCCTCCATAGTGTTATATCAATGTTTTTAGAATATAATGGTGCTTGTAATAATGTTCATTTCAGACACTCAATTATTCTAGGTGATCCTAGAATGCTAACATAAAAAATGTACGAAATAAACTTAACCATTTTCTCTCCTCTCCGTAAAAACACCGTAACCCAAAAAGAGCTTTAACTTCATAAAGGGAAATCACAAAGTAAAATGCAGTTTCACTCAAGTAATAAGTTGATGAAAGAAATGCAAACCACAAACTGAACTCTTTTATGTCTTTCTTGTTGATGAATTTGAGTGATGATACCAAATAAGCTGTAATATTCTTTGCCTTACAATTGGTTTAGCACTTAAGCTTGCAGGTCCTTTTTTTGAAGTGTGTGACTAATAAGTACAAAGAGCAAGTCATAACATCCACACTGCAGCTGACAAAAGGCTTTACAGTCAAAGATCATTTCTGAATAGTACAAGTAATTCTTTCCATAATGCATTGAATTCAGCCATAGTTGTAAGCATGACTTTTTTTATTAAGCCACTGTTTAGTGGGTATTAAAATTAGATTTTTAGTAGATTTTGATTAACGTTGATAAAATGTGTGGTTGAAAAGTTGCGGGTCCTATAAAATATGTGGCTACAATTAATTGTTGACTTTGACTTAAATTATTTTAATTTCTACCAAACAAGGGGCTAAGTATTGAACCAAAAACTAACATCGTAAAGTATGAATCTTCTTGACTTAAATTGTGATAGTTTTAAGCTGAGTCTGTCATTGACTATTTCATTCAAACTCTGGCTAAATTATAACATTTGTAGAGCATCATTATGGAATCAAATGCTCATGAAAATATAAACCAACAGAATACTAAGGTTACATTTAGTGGCAAACAATTGGGGCATCAAAATTGGATTTGTGAAGAATCAATTCAGAATTGAACGGAAATATTTCTAAATATAGAATAAACAAGATCCCATTTCTTTATGGTCAAACATAGCATAAAGAAAGAATTTTCACCTGCATAGAGAAGTTAAAAGTCATGAACTCAATCACAGGCCTGAGACCATAGTAAGCTGCACCAACTCCAATTCCAGTAAATCCAGCCTGCAACATATAAACTGGTTGAGCATGAAAAATATACAAACACAACTAAAACAAGTCGTAAGTAAAGGCAAAGAGAAACCTCAGTAATAGGAGTATCCACAACTCTGTCAGGACCATACTTCTCCAAAAGCCCTTTGGAAATCTAAAGTAAAATAAAGTAAATCAAAAACAGATCACTGAAAGAATAGAAAATAAGATTACGAAAAGTCTGTTGTTGCAGCAGTTGAGGTGCGATTGAACGAGCAACACTCACCTTGTATGCACCCTGATACTCACCAACCTATATAATAGTAATCAACAAGTTAAAAAAGTCATTGACCACAAAAAGAACAAATCAACAATGTGCATAATTGCATTTTCTTCTTATACTGAACTTAAACTTCTAGTTTACCTCTTCACCCATTAAAAAGACTTTGGGGTCAGCAGACATTTCTTCATCAAGTGCTGAATTTAAAGCCTCTCGTACTGTCATCTGCAAGAAATGGCAATTACATATCATTACCCACAAACAATTCAAAGTAAATGAATATAAATTTTGATTTAATGTTCTGATTGGATTTGGGACAATATTAACAAGGAAAGCTCCCAAATGATCAAAACTTAAAAATAAATAAATAAATAAAATAAAATAAAATAAAATGTGTATATATATATATATATATATAGATTTTACTCGATGAATTGCATATTTTACTATATATACACAACCATTAAAAATTTTGAAAAATATATAGATTCGACCAATATGTACCTCTTTTGCTGTGGAAGAAAAAGCCCGGGGTGCAACTACTTTCATTCCTCGCTCCAAATTCTTCAAATCAGAAAGAAAACGATGGAGAAAAACTTACACAACCATTCAAAAATTGTTAACAATCAAACAAATGAAATTACTAGTTATTTTCAATTAATCAAAATGTCATTTTACCGAAGTAGAAACGCATCTGCAGGCCACTCTTTGCCATATAACTCCCAGCATATTGACTCCCTAATTAACATGAAAAACACACCTTTATATCACATACACACATAAATCAATGAATATGCCTATCTATAAATCAGATTTCGTTCTTCAGATCAAATCTGAGTCAACTAAAACAAATTGAAAACACATAAAGCCGCATAAATACATGAATATAATTCTGTATGTAGCAGTAAAATGAGAGAATCCAAAATTAAAACTAAAAAATTGAGAAAAAAAAGAGAGAGGGAGAATTACCTAGCTTGTGTGTATGTGTTGAGGGAGAGAATGGGACTAGATAGTTAGCAATAATAACAATAATAATAATAATTAATAGACGCTTTTATTGGTTTTAAAATTCGGTCAGAATGTCCTTTTATTTGTAAATTTATCGCAGCGTAGTGTTGTATTGGTGGGAAATGTAGGGCAGAGGAAATATCAAAAATGGCTGCTTTTAATAGTCGTTTACATTTTTTAGTTGTTTACTTTGTTTCTCTGACTACTCGCGGCTGGTGGGCGGAATTTTAAAAAAAAAAAAGAAAAAGAAAGAAAAAAAAAAGGGTTTTTATTCATGAACGGTCATATAGTTAATAATTGACAATTCATTCTAAATTTTAAAAAATTGAATGTTTATACTCAATCATTAACCATTCATAGAACCCAAAAAAATATAAATAAATAATAATAATAATAATAATAATAATAATAATAATAATAATAATAATAATATTGAACTAGAGAGAGAATACAATTTGTATTGAATAAATTATGTTGTTACAAGAGTTCTAACTACCTATATAAATATCAGTGATAGAATTGCAACTATATAAGTAAAATATCTCCATTAATCCCCCTCAAGATGACCAATGAATGTCGAGAATAGCCATCTTGGATAGCAATGGAAATAAGGAAGTAATTAATGCTCTAGTAAAAACATTATCAAGGTGATGTTGAGTGCGAACAGTGAGAAGTTTGATAAAACCTTTTGCAATCTTATCCTGAACAAAGTGACAATCGATTTTGATATGCTTTCATACTTTCATGAAATGTGGGATTAGTAGCAATGTGAATTGCAGCTTGATACCATGTTGGACTAGAGAGAAAATAAAATGTGCGTTGAATGAATTGTATTGTTACAAGAGGCTTAATTGCCTATATAAATATCAGTAACAAAACTAAATACCATATAGGAAAATATTTTGTAGTACATAGAAAAACTATATTTGGGATTTTCAACATTTACGCAATAAATATTTGAGTTTGAACTAATTTTCAACTAGATATACATCTTCACAGTAAAACCTTGTTGATTCGTGTAGAGTTCTAAGGATTTTGACATCCATGAAAAAAAATGTATTCTCCAACGCTCATCGAGACTACATGCCACTTATCTCAATCAACTATTGACCTCTTTCAAATGTTCTAAACTGTCCATGAATCAAATCACAACTGTATTGACACCCTACTATGCCTCGCTTAATTAGTACTAATAAATTTCTATCATTGTTGTCGTATTTCTCTCACAAATGTTTTATAAAACACTACTAAAAAATAGCTTTTCATCTACGAAAAATTACTCACGGATGGTAATTAGAAAAAAAAAAAGAGAGAGGGAGAATTACCTAGCTTGTGTGTATGTGTTGAGGGAGAGAATGGGACTAGATAGTTAGCAATAATAACAATAATAATAATAATTAATAGACGCTTTTATTGGTTTTAAAATTCGGTCAGAATGTCCTTTTATTTGTAAATTTATCGCAGCGTAGTGTTGTATTGGTGGGAAATGTAGGGCAGAGGAAATATCAAAAATGGCTGCTTTTAATAGTCGTTTACATTTTTTAGTTGTTTACTTTGTTTCTCTGACTACTCGCGGCTGGTGGGCGGAATTTTAAAAAAAAAAAAAGAAAAAGAAAGAAAAAAAAAAGGGTTTTTATTCATGAACGGTCATATAGTTAATAATTGACAATTCATTCTAAATTTTAAAAAATTGAATGTTTATACTCAATCATTAACCATTCATAGAACCCAAAAAAATATAAATAAATAATAATAATAATAATAATAATAATAATAATAATAATAATAATAATAATATTGAACTAGAGAGAGAATACAATTTGTATTGAATAAATTATGTTGTTACAAGAGTTCTAACTACCTATATAAATATCAGTGATAGAATTGCAACTATATAAGTAAAATATCTCCATTAATCCCCCTCAAGATGACCAATGAATGTCGAGAATAGCCATCTTGGATAGCAATGGAAATAAGGAAGTAATTAATGCTCTAGTAAAAACATTATCAAGGTGATGTTGAGTGCGAACAGTGAGAAGTTTGATAAAACCTTTTGCAATCTTATCCTGAACAAAGTGACAATCGATTTTGATATGCTTTCATACTTTCATGAAATGTGGGATTAGTAGCAATGTGAATTGCAGCTTGATACCATGTTGGACTAGAGAGAAAATAAAATGTGCGTTGAATGAATTGTATTGTTACAAGAGGCTTAATTGCCTATATAAATATCAGTAACAAAACTAAATACCATATAGGAAAATATTTTGTAGTACATAGAAAAACTATATTTGGGATTTTCAACATTTACGCAATAAATATTTGAGTTTGAACTAATTTTCAACTAGATATACATCTTCACAGTAAAACCTTGTTGATTCGTGTAGAGTTCTAAGGATTTTGACATCCATGAAAAAAAATGTATTCTCCAACGCTCATCGAGACTACATGCCACTTATCTCAATCAACTATTGACCTCTTTCAAATGTTCTAAACTGTCCATGAATCAAATCACAACTGTATTGACACCCTACTATGCCTCGCTTAATTAGTACTAATAAATTTCTATCATTGTTGTCGTATTTCTCTCACAAATGTTTTATAAAACACTACTAAAAAATAGCTTTTCATCTACGAAAAATTACTCACGGATGGTAATTAGAAACGAAATATCCGTTGGTAAAAATTATTCACTTTCAACTACGATAATTAACAACAGGTTTTTTTTTTTTTTTTTTTTTTTGGTAACGATGATATCTCTTTACCAACGTATATTCTGTGCCTCATGTAATCGTTTAACATTTGGTTATTTTACCTACAAATATTTCGTAGGTGATGTACCGAATATTACTAGCGGATACAATTTGTTGGTAATTGAAATATATTATCCGTTGGTAAAAATAATTTACTTTCAACTACGATAGTTAGCAACAGATTTTTCATTGGTAACGATGATATCTCTTTACCAACTGATATTCCGTGCCTTGTGTAATCGTTTAACATTTGGATCTTTCAATTACGGATATTCCATTGGTAATTAGAAATAGATTATCCGTTGATGAAAGTAATTCACTTATCCCACATCAAAAGTTCACAACAAAGTTTTCGGAGTTGTCCTCTATAAATTAATTTGTGTTCCAATAAGTGATTAAACAATATTTTGGCCTTTCAATTAGGTTGGCTAAAAGTTAAAAAATTAGAATTATTAAATAAATAATAATAACAATAATAAAAAAATAAATAATTTTTTTTTACCATGCCTTACACCTATGCGTTTATTTACAACATTGATTTTTACCAATTGTAATGATAGATATTTATCAATGGAAAGTCGGTTGGTATTGGTTAAGATTTTTACCAACGAAAATTTCGTTGGTAAAAGATTCACACTTTATCAACGAAAAATTCGTTAGTGAAATGTTTACTTTTTACCTACGGCATGAACTATTGGTAACTATCAGCGATCCTCAAATTAGCAACGGATTTGCTGTTATAAATATTACGTTGGTAAAGAGTAGTAGCAACAAATATCAGGGTTTCAGGAACGAAAAATCCGTGCCTTAAGCCATATTTTTTAGTAGTGAAAAAATCATCTATTTCTTGGTGACCTCAAATCAAAATTGGTAAATACCATTTGTTGAAAATCTTCGAGAATGTCGTGCGGTAATTTACAAAAATAAATAGCGAATAAATATTCGGACAGAATTTCGACTTACAAAATTAGCGTAATAAATTAGAATGAATAATGGTCGAGGCAAGAGTTTAACTCTTTCTCCTTAAGATGAAAATGCCTCGCACTGGTGCTGACGATCTCCTAGCACTCGTCTCCCAAAATACAACGACACCGACTTGTAATAGTAGCACCAATTTACAAGACCTGACGAACCTACTAATATTTGATCTCTTGAGAATCGGAGGACTAAAATACACGAAAATAATATTTGGGGGCTGAAATGCAAATATATGAAAAATGGTAGGACAGAAAGACAATATTGCAGAAGAAGGGATGTAGAATACATTTTGTGGAGTGAATCAAAACCGAGGATCTGGGGTCTATTTATAAAAGTTGAAAGGTTGTGCCCAAAAGACACAACCCATTTGGACAGGTAGTTGAAACTGTCACCAACCGCCAATTTCTAGAAAAATCCACTTGTCTAGCACAGAAAATTTGGGGAAGAAAAAATAAATAATATAATAAAAATATATTATTTAATTAATAAAATAATATAATTTAAAATATTATTTTACCAAAAATATATATATATACCAACTGGGGCCAAACCTAAGACCACGACCCTAACCCGTGCACGTGCTCGTCGAGCCGACCAATCGGATGGACGGTGACGACGGCTCACGCGTGTGGGCTTTAGCTGAACCTACTAGCATATACCTCTCCTCTCTAAAGACTAGTGGTACCCCTTAGGGCCCAAACCCAAGTCCCTAACTTGAGTTATATAAAGTAGTTTTTATTCTGCTAGTTTTCCTATGTGCAATTGACATTTTCCAATTTTCTACCAATTTTTATTCTCAATTTATTTCAATTTCAAATGGTCATCTTTTGGTTTTAATTTCTCATTCACCCTTAATTAGTTTTGAGAAATAAATACATATATCAATTCTACTCATGGAGTAGAATGCACTTGGCCAAATAAATCATTTATCAAACTATCGGGACTCACTTAAATAATTGGTTAAAAGTTGATCAAACCAACTAACTATTCCAATTTTCCAACAATCCACTACTTGAATGGAAATTAATGCAATAGATGATGCAGACCCTAACGAGAGATCAAGCAGAGAGTTATTGTATCTGGATAGGTAGCTTATGGGTTTGACCCTTCCATAGTAATATACTATCGGATTTAGTTGGCTAATCAGTGAACGTGATGTCTTGAATTGTCAGCCGTTATTCTAAATCAAGACAATAGCATCAACACAATAACCTCCCTACTATTTTCGAGTTCTCACTGTCGTGTTCATTTTGGCCTTGAACAACTCTTGGATTTCATAAGTATTTTAGAGAATTCAAGCCCTTGAAACATTCTCATGGAAGCGACCCCACTTCACACTTATATAGGTGATTT